GGCTGAATTTTTGATAACCCCGACCAGGCTCCAAATCTTGAACACGTATTCTTACAAGGTAGAGCACAGGACTATAGGAGGTAATATTGGTTTATGATGACAGTAATATGATTAATATTTAAAATAATAATGATGATGATGGCAGCAGCAGGTGTCAGGACCGGGGTCCAGAAGGAACTACGATCTACGGAGACCTGCTAGGGGAGAAAGCGCAAAAAACTCCCGGAAAGAAGCTAAATTAGTCATGTGCATTAATAAAACGTGGATGATTGTAGAAAGAGAGCGTGAGAGAGGAGCTCTGTGTGCCCTAAGAAGTCCCCCGGCAGTCCAAGCCTATAGCAGCTTAACTAAGGGCTGGTCCGGGCTAACCTGAGGCAGCCCTAACTATAAGCAAAATCAAAGAGGAACGTTTTAAGCTTTCCTCTTTGATTTTGCTTAAAAGAGCTGACCGAATCTGACCGAATATGCCCCCTGGACTGAAATTGGAAGCTGGCTCCACAAAAGAGAAGCTTAACAAAAGAGGAGCCAGGATGCCCCCTGGGCGCCTTCCTAGGGTAGAGGCCCCCGAGAGATTATATTTTCGCACTGGCCTGGGAACGTCTCGGGATCCCCCAGTCATAGCTGGTAGATGTGGCCTGGGAAAGGGAAGTTTAGGATCCCCTGCTGAAACTGTTGCCCTCGCGACCCGACCCCGGATAAGTGGCTTAAGATGAATTAATGATTCAACCTTAAATGCTCCACCTCCCCAGTGACCCATGGTGCCCCCAAGGTTCCGTGCTTGGTCCCTTACTCTTCATCCTTTACATCCTTACCCTTAGACAAATCATTGATTGTGATAGTCTCAATTTCCAGTGCTATGCCGATAACACCCAACTCTCCTCCAAGAGCATTACCTCAGTCACCCACTCCAGTCTCACTGGATATAATATATAAAATCATGGCTGCAACAGAAATTTCTGAAACTCAACTGCAATAAAACTAAACCAACCACATCACCAAGACTGCCTTGTTCCGCCGCTGCCTCAGGTCCACCAATGCAACCACGCTGATAACCATCAGGACCAACTGCCAGACATGGGGCTACAGAGCCTTCTTAGCTGCTGCATCACCTCTGGAAGGCCCTCCACATCCACATCCGCCGGGCTCCCATCCTATCACATTTCAAACAAGCTCTCAAAGAACTTGGAGTATGCACTATAAAACACTCAAGTGTCATTATAAAAATTGGATTTTTATATATATATTATTGCATAGAACAAGCTCTGAGTTGAAAACAATTTACACATTTTGTTCGGTACTTAATTTAGGAACAGTTGTTCTTAAAATGCTACAATTGAGTAATATCACAATTGCAATATTCTGCGAATCAAATCAAATAGTTTACAGGGTATTCAGCATTTCATAATTATTTATATTGAAGAGTTTCATTGATGTTGTACATAAGTGAATTACAGTTTCTACTGCAGACTCAAATAATGCGTGACAACAGCAGGAAGCAAGGACCTCCGGGTTCTGTCCTTCACACACCACCAGTGAAGCTGCCTCCCAGTAAACAAGCTCTTTAACAAATGTCCATGCATCAGAGTAACAGATTTCATGGGGCCATGTTTTACTTGGTAATTTTGAAGTGGAGAGGTAGAGATACGGTTTAAATATTCCTAATTTTGCAAATCACAATTGAGATATTTACAGATTTTACAGACTTACTTGTCAGAACAAAACAATAAAATGTCTTTTGGCTGAGTAAATGGAAGAACTCAGCTCAGCAGAGAATGCAGAGCCAAAGCGTGATGATTTAATTACTCAAAAACATTAGAAGGTACTAAGTAAAATTATATGTGTAGGGCTTAACAATACTACGATAATGTAGCATTGGTTAAATACCGGTTCTGTGAATGCAAACAAATCCCATTTCAGTTCACTGATATTGAACACATTTTTCTAATGCAGTTTGCCAAACTTTCTAATCCGCTGTTTTTCTCAATAAATAAAATATTCATGCCTGAACACTGAAGTAAATGGGCAACCTAACAAAAAGAAGCAATTCAAGTTGTAACCGTTAGATGAAAAAAACACAGCATCAGCAACTGTGTGGATGAATTGTAGTGGCCTGGTGATATTTTATACTTTATGATTTATTTTTCCTTTTGTGCCGACAGTTGACCGTGCCAAATATGCCAAAGCATGTGAAATTGATTTGGAATCAAGGGGAAATATTTGTTAATTTTGTTGAGATTATTTGTTATCTGTGACTGAACAAGCAAGTGCTTGAATCGTCCTTTTATTTTTCAATGATTCAGCATGATTGCAATCCATCCGTCATGTTGCATAACAGGTAGTTTTAACCAAAATGAGACCAAAAGGTAGTTACTGTGAAGGTTATTGTAGGAATAACCATTTTCGGATTAACAGAAAAGAGGAAACAACCTAAATAGACACAAGAGGAGAGATGAAGATCCCTCCCTCACTCTATATCTCCGCAGGCAGACTTGTGACTACCTAAGATAATCTATTATTAGTTCTAATCCGGATATTCAAGTAGGTGATTTCCAACCCTTCCAGTGAACCAAAAAAAAAAAAAAAAGTTGAATGACTGTTTAAATCAGGCAATGCAATAACTATTTACTGTTTCAATTCAAGATGATAACATTTATCTGTCATCTCCAAAGTAGTTTTCATCTTAGGTTGGGATATTACCCCTCAAAAAAAGATTCTTTATAAAACATCTTTCACCTTGGCAACTTTTATAAACATATAATATAACATAATCGTTTGGCTTGTCTTTAAACTGATCGAGAAGAGGGTGGTTGTAAAGTGATGGCAAATGTGATTTCCAGGGATTAGCAGTACACTTGTATGGTTTTTAGTAGCTGCAGGGAAAAATAGATACTGTTGCTTTAGTTGCTGATTTCGTTCCTGCTATGGGCAAATAGGGGAAAGCCCTAGGGGCACAGAGCCTCGGGAAATGTCTGGATGTCTCTTAAAAGGCTGTTTACCCCTCAGCTGTAATGAAGTGTGAACATCCGTTTTCGATGTTCATCGAAAACGGGTGTATTTGTAGCAAAAAGTTCCCTTTAGGATCACTGAACTGATCACTGAACTGGCCGGGGTTCACACTGCTTGAATTATTCCTTGCGAGGCATTTAGTGGCAAAAGCCACACAGCAAATCTGTTGCAATATTAGTAAAAGGATAATATGATGCAAACAGCAGCTAATAATATTCTTAAATGTATAATTACAATTACAGTATTTACAAAAGATTGTTGTGTTACCAAAGTAATATCTGCAAACTCTTAAGAATGACTTGGTAACAATTGTCTAGTTAATGATGTGAGCTGATGAATCAGTGGTTTGATTCATTCAGTTTTGATTCATTTTCTTATATATGATGACAAGCAAATAGTTCCACCTGTAAACAAGGTTCCTTAAAGTTGAACTCCAATTAACAAAAAGGTACCATGTTTGGACGGCTTTAGTGGCTGTTCATTATGTATTAACCTGGTTGACTTATCATGGTCATTTTTTTTTTTATTCCAGCTGCTCAGTTCATCGATGAAGTAAAAAACCTTTTTGATAAACACTTTTGCTGATGGCAGACATTTTGCGAGTGTGTATTTCTCTGCTGTGGCCTTCGCCCAAGTCAAAGACACTGGCTAACTCCAGTTGCGTGGGACATCTCCTTTAATACACTGTTTTCCTTTCTTTCCTAGCCATCTTTGATTCCTGGACCGATCCTCCTCCTCTTGCACTCAGCTGCCTCCTTGCTTGTTGTTCTTGGAACTACATCCAAAAGTCCTCCGAGCCTTTCTGCGCTCCCCTCTATGAAAGTCGAGGGACATCAAAAGGGCTCTGTCAACATTAACATCGCTGAACCTTCCTTGTCTCTCAAATGGGCGAGTGTAGTCGACGTGTTTTAGTAGGATGGGGGGGGTGGTAGAAGCCTCAGACCCCCCTCTAGCACGTGTTTACCAGACAGTAGGGGCTAAGGGCCCTCTCCTTTTTCCAACACAAAGAGCCGCAGGGTTAAAGCTCAGCCACTGATCCCCTTCCAGCAGCCACCTTCCTTCCTTCTTCCACTTCCCCCTTTCTCATTCTTTTCCACTCCATGCCACACTGCGTTATGCCATTCGCTGCCATTCGATGTCGGTAGATGCAAATAGGTGCCGTTTGCTTGACTCCTGGAAGAGATTTTTCGTTAATAGGCACTTCCCCTTTCCTCTCCTTGCGCAACATATTTCTTTCTATCTTTTTATTTTCTGACATTTTTTGTTATTTGCTCTAGGTTATTTTTATTTCTTTAAACAATAATGTTGGGCTGCACCAAGCACAGGATACAGCAACGATACATTCACAATATGGATGCTCCAATCTACCACTGGTAAATTAGACTAATTTGTGTGTAGCTATATATGTTCTGCTCTGCTGCGGAATTTCAGCACACTGTCCTGTTATTTTTTTATGTTTTTAACAAGTTTAATTCCCATCAATCATGAGGACAGCTGCTACCGTTGTCTTTAAGTAACTGACAGCCACAACAAAACGACAACAACAGTACTCCAGGAACTGCTTGTTTTTGCGAGTGTGAAAGCTGTCATTGGATTCCATTTATTTTTCAAACCAGACCATATGCCATCCAATGAACCAATTTGTTCTCTTGACTTAATTTATTTTATAATATGACCTTCCATCCATTTTGTCCGTGCATTGTGTCAGGAGTGGACAGCACTGTTCCTGTGTGTGTGAGTGTTTTAAATAGAGAATAAAGCTGCAAGCCACAAACAGCTGTTATTAAGCCCCTGCCTCCTGCTGATTTGACAGAGAATTGGTCTATGAACTCAATCTACGAACAATCTACGAACACTCCCTGTCTGAATTGACTTTGATTTTGAAAAGTCGCCCTATGTTGTTGTTATTTAGCCTCCCCTTTGCTCTTGTTTATGTAACCAGGGTTTGAAAATGCGTTACTGTTCAATAAGTCGTAACATTGTTCCTGTTTAACCAAGAAAAGAGTTCATCTTTTCCTTAATAGTCAATCTTTGTCATTCCATGCACAGAGATTTATTTAAGTGATCATCTGTCTCTATATAGACGATCTTTGTTTTCTCCGCCGACTGTTTTACTGAAGTAAGTTAAGAGAGCAGAAAACCTATGATTCATCGAAAAATTTGAATATTGAAGCATGAGCCATTCAAAATCGCGAGTTTCGAGGAGGAGGATCAAACCTTTGAACATTTAATATTCTGGTGAGTTGACTGAAGTTCGATGCGTTTACCGTTAGCTGCGTTAGCAAGAATGCTCAACGATATTTTGTATTTTTGTAAAGTTGTCTATTGTATTAAAACCAGTCAGGAAGGGAATTAGAAAAGGTACATTTATGAATGTGTAATGGATATAATTGAATGCCCTGAGCTGCTAATGTTAATTACTTGTTATATTGTGTGTGATGTTTTAGCCATGTGGCTTGCAGGCCTAGTTGGATCGGTATTGAATTGTTGTCCTGCACGTGTGCATAGGTTGTTTTTTTTGGATAGCTCCATGACTGGAACCAGAAGTACTGTCCGGTCTGCCACCACATCTTCATCCATCCACCACCAAGAGGACCCTCACATCGGACGTCACAGTGCGCCTGGAGTCCCTTTGACTTGACTTTGGTTGTGCACAGAAGGGTGGTAGGACACTTTTTTTTTTGGACGATACTCCTTCTTTTATACATTTTTTCCCGATCGAACTTATTCCTGAGATCTCAGAGGTTTTCTTTATTTTTTATATTAACTGCTTGGACATTCTTTTGATGTGTGGAATCGTGCATTTGCTGCAGAAATGATTGTCTAATTGTGTTATAAATAAATCTGTTGTGTTAAGTGTAATTTGGGGTGGACATTTCCTGTTTCCAATTGAATACTCACCAGTCTCCTCATCGAACCTGGATTGAATTTGAATATCCCCCTATATTCTGTATATTCTGCACTGTCTCTAAGCGGCAGTTGCAGGGGAGTGGTTACATTTAGATCAGGTTAATTGGTTATTTATAGACGTACATAATCTTTAACTGTATGATTAACAGGCATTTATACCAAATCAAGTGTACATATCATGATTTATCAGAAGAAACATTTCTCTATAATCTCTAAAGTCCACCAATTTCTTTGCAGCTACATTGAATGGATGTGTTACATTTACCTTACAATGTATTAGGGAAATATTTTTTGGGATTTACCATCAAAGTATTGAAATCCCATTCAAACCTCTCTTCCTTTAGCGAATACACCACAGAGCCACAAACTACATACAGGGGCAAATTGTCTTTCTATCATTCCCAATAATATTTTGACGGGATTTTATTTGCAAACAGCTGGAATCAATTCAATTTAATAAAACCTTTTTTAGGTGTATCTCAGGACTCTCATGCAAGATAATAGTTCACCTTGGGTCCTGCTAATCGGAATAATGGTCTTGTTTGCTGCATATGTCTGTAAACTGAGTGTAAATGTGTCTAGCTGTTGTGTTTTGCCCTGCAACGCATCATGTGATAATAGACCTGGCAGCAAACTGGCCAAAGGGGGAAGGCATAAGAGGGTTTTGGATAGGAGGGGGAGTAGACGTTGACGGGCACCGTGTGTGTGCGCGTGGCATCTCCATATTCCGTGGATGCATATACATGTTTATGTGGAGTTTGTCCCTCGTTGTGTGTGTTTGTGTCTGTGTGAGACTAGGCTCCTCGGTTACCAGGGAAATGGATGTGTTGGCCTCATCAGAGAGTCTCCAGCTGGTGGAGAGGCTTCGGAAGCGGCGCCTTGGCAGCCGCACGGTCAGGGGGGAGTTTGCATCTGTGCTGCCTTGGCACTGAACTGGATTGTGATTGTGGTGTATGGAGTGTGTGAATAGGGGTTTGTGCATTGAAGGTTGAGGGAGGCTAAGGTCCAACCCCTTTCACCTCTTAACAACCCCTCACCTTGCACGCGCGTACAGACAACAACCACGCACACACCGGCACACACACATTTCTCCTTCTCATTGGCATTATTTACACATTAAGTGCTAAAGATACAACGTTATCATTTATTTGAAAATGTGTCCTCCCCACCAGATATAATTCAAATACTCTCCTTTGCAGGAATGACATGGTCGTGTGGTGGTTAACACTGTTGCCCGTAAATTGACCATAGACAAACTAAAAGAAGCTATCTGACAGAAGTATTATAGTGTTCACATTGTGAATGCTAATTTGTAGTAACCCTCTCCTGAAGTGTTGAGAGATAGACAGTCAACGCACTGTATAGTAGAACATCTGTTTGAGTCTGATAGACTGGCCACGGGAGAAGTCGCTACTTCGCCTGGCGATCACTACAAAATCTTTTTCATAGGGGCAGAGACTACTTTTACTATTGCAAATTGTAACTTCCATTTACACTTGCTTGGTTGTCCCGTGGCATTACCAATTTAGTGTGGATTTTATCATAATCGGATACAGATAGAGACAATGATATATACAGTACAAAGACACTTCTCTTCACATTTCCTCTGTTACCTCTTAATCCCGTCTCCACCCCACCCCTCCGCCACTCTCCTTCTACTCCTCCTCTAAATCTGGCCTCCCCCTCTATTTTTCCCACCTCATTTTTCTCCCCTCTGCACTATTATTCACTCTTTCTATTCAACCTCATTATCCCTCTTTCCCCTTTGTCCACTGCTCTCTCCTTCCGCACTTTGGGCCTCCTCTCCTTGAAAGTGTCCCTTCTGTCCTCCTATCTATCTATCTATCTATCTATCCATCCATGTATTTATCTTCAGTTTGCAGTCTATTTCGATCCTACACACACACACACACACACACACTGTATTCATTTAAATCAAGCGTCTTATTCCTTGCTCATTCATCTCCGTCCCAGCTGTTTTCATATGCCAGCGACCGTCATTAATATGTTTTTCCTGCCACATGTGCTGTGGATTATGGAGACTAACGACAGCGATAATATTTTAGTCAGGCTAGACAGCCTTGGTGGTTTGGATGGGGCCCACATGATCACAGGCACCGTTTGAAACTCAAGCCACTGGGAAATGAACTTTGACGTGACTTCAGACCCCAGATATTCTTTGAGAATAGAGTTCACACTGTTGTTTGGGGAGTGCCTGAGACACAGCGGTCTAAGTGGCTCGAGTTATCATTATCTCCTCTCCTTGTGTTTCTGCCTCTGATAGCTTTGCACAACGGTTATATACTCCCTTTCTCAGGTTAAAAAGGGAATAGTCAGTTGTTACTGATCAATTAAAACTACTAATCTAATAAACATTATATATATACATATAGTTTACTAAATCAATAGATTTAGATATAGTAAACTACAGCTGATTCCAATGCAAGATTTGGGAAAATTGTATTGTCTTTTTTTCAAGACTAGCAGCATTCTAGTCGGAGGAGCCATTGACCCAAACCTCACTGCGTAAAGGACAAAACTGTTGTCTTGATGTTGAACATCTGCAGTAAGTATAACGATACATTGAGATATTCATTTTTTGGTAATCCAACGAATATGTCACAGAAACCTGTTCGAGTGGATTAAATATTTGAAAAATGCAAAGTACCTGATGAATACATTTTTGCAGCAGTCCGAATCCACTGCCTGTAAGGTGTATAGCAGTCATTACCTCGCTGCTTATTATAGTATTGTAAGGTATTGGAAGATTGCAAGGTAAACTGTAGAGAGCAGCTTCCTTTTATATGTTTTTCTTTGTCGCTAAACACTTCCAACCCTCAGAGGTTGTGGCACAACCTCTTCTGGTTTTAATATATTATAGAAAAAATGTATTTTGCCAAACTACAGTATATCTTGCTTTTAGGGCAGCCTGTTAACTCAGCACATGACTTAAAGAATTTGTAATTTGAAATTTGTTATAAATTTGTTTATAGCTATCTATTTTTTGCAGAAAGACAAACACACATAGGCTGCTATAGAAGGCTGCTATGCAGGCTGTTATTTAAAATAAATCTAAATCGATGTTTTAACCTTTACTGTCCATTGAGTTTTTTAGTTTCATTGAATCTGATTCAAATAAATATTTGGGATTTTTCCTCCAATGGCCCCTTCAATTGCCTACCTTAAGGATAAATCAAAATTGGAATGCATCCTTCACTGTAAAGCTTCAAGTGGCCTTTGACCACTCACGCCTGAAGCTGATTTATGTGAAAGCAGACAATGCTATATTTCACATGTGCGTCCACATGATTGTTTCCCATGGCGAACCTTTATGTTATATTTGAAAGTGAGCTTATATACTGTGCAGCAATCTGTGTGTACTGTGTGTGTGTGTGTGTGTGTGTGTGTGTGTGTGTGTGTTGACTGGTTGGGGAAAGAGTTTCTGGTGCTTCACTTCCATGTTCGACAGCATGTTTGCGCGTCTCAGCTCAGAGCGTCTCTCAGCCTAATCCGTCCTTATCTCCCAGCGCGACAACACAACAAGAGGATCTCTAAAGAAGACATTTCTCTTTTTCCGCGGCGCTGAGCGCTCCAGCGATGCTGTTTAAGCGCCGCCTGCTTGTGCGCTATGTCTTTTCTCTTCTTACAAGATTCATTTGGTTTGAGCGTGCACTCACACCTGCGCATGAGTGCCTTTAACTCAGCGAGAAGAACAAGTGTGTGTGTGCTTTTGTCTGAACTTGTGCATTCCAGCTCAGGAAGCGAGTGCTGTTGTCATTCCAAAGCACCTCCAACATCAAACTCAGACTAAAGGTTGTCTGCAAGTCTTGACATTAGATAAATGCCTGGTCGGGTTGTACATACAGCTTTACCAATTCTCCAATAGGTCTCCCGGTCTCTCTCTCCCCCTCTATCTGCCAGCCTCTCTTTCTCTCTCCATCCAGGCTGATCTAATGACTCATAGGAATGCATCGAGCTGCTTGTCAGAGATCAATCATCTTCGTCAGGTCGTTCTACCGATTGTTTGAATAGCGGGCCATTAGAGAGGAGCTGTTTGGAGGTGTTTTGTGAACCTAAGCGGCTGCAAAGGTCAGCTGGATAGAGAGAGAAAGAGGGAGGCCAGGACTGAGTGAGAAACATACAAAGAGAGAAGTGTGTGAGTGTGTGCGGGGCCGCTACGACAGCAGGAGGACGAGAGGCAACAGACAGGTGGAGGTATGCGGAGATAGAAAGACAGGCCTTGTCAGCCCCGTTGCGTGACTCTCACTGCCCTTTGTTAGTATGAATCCTTAAACAGCTAGCTGCAAGTGCAAAACCTGAGATTATTAATTCCCACGCACCGCCTGACATCCAGGCCTGATCTGAAATATGCATGTCAGAGAGTAGAAGAGAGATGGGTGGGTGCTGGAGGGGGGGTGGGATGAGAAGATAGAGCGGGTGGGAAGCGGGGAGACCAAAAAAGGGCCAATACCGGAATGGTGGCTGCCTTTTGGAAGTGGCGACAGATTCTGTTTAATGTGGCCTGTCTGTAGCCATCTAATGAGGGAACCCACCTGTGATTTTGCTTAGCGCCATGAGAGAAACCCCTGGCCGCAAACTGCTAACACAAGGTGCCGTCAACTTTTTCAAAGGTCCTTCCTCCTGAAACTGCCACGTCTTGTCTTTTGAAATGAAGTTCCGAGACGGTGTAATTTAAAGATCTTCAGTCGCTGGATATAAGACATTTTCCTCCTTTTTTTTTTTTTGGTTTCCAAAGAGATTGGGCGCGTGTAATTGTGTCTGTGTGTGTGTGTTTGTCTCTCGCTCTCTCTGCGTGTGTGACACCTTCTTTCCTTTGAAAAACAAGAAGAAGAAAAAACAGACTGGGATTTCAGCAGAAACAACAATTGATGATTAAAAGTTTTATTGCCAAGCTGTCTGCAGAGGTACAATCATAATGCTGAGGTCATTTG